ATGGCTCATGCCTGTAATCCCAGTGCTTTGGGAGGCCAAGGCAGGCAGATCACCTGAGGTCAGGAGTTTGAGACCAGCTTGGTGAAGCCCCATCTCTACTGAAAATACAAAAATTACCTGGGTGTGGTGGCATGTGCCTATAGTCCCAGCTACTCTGGAGGCCGAGGCATGAGAATCACTTGAGGTGGAGGTTGTTGTGAGCCAAGATCGCACCACTGCACTTGAGCCTGGGTGACAGAATGAGACTCTGTCTCAATCAGTCAATCAATAAATAAAATAAGTTGTTATCATTCAAATGAGATTGTTATAAGTTTTAGATGTTAATACCCAAGGTAATCATTAAGAAAATAACTAAAAAATAGTATACTATAAAAAATTAAGAAAATAAAAATCAAAATAGTACACTACAAAAAAGTAACATAATACCAAAAAAGGGTAGTAATTGAAGAATTGAGGAAGAAAAAAATATAATACATGCAGAAAACAAATAGATAGCAGAAGCATATCCTTCTGTATCAATAATAACCTTAAATATAAAAGTATTAAACTTTTCCATTAAAAGAAAAAATTAGGGCCAGGTGTGGTGGCTCACTCCTGTAATCCCAGCATTTTGGGAGGCCGAGGCAGGTGGATCACCTGAGGTCAGGAGTTTGAAACCAGCCTGACCAACAAGGTGAAACCTCGTCTCTAAAAAAAAAAAAAAAAGAAAAAATTAGCAGATTGAATAAGAAAATCAATATCTACTTATATACTGTCTACAAGGGATGCACTTTAGATGTAAGGACACAAAAGAGGTTAGAAACAAAAGGACTGAAAAAGATATTCCAAACAAATATTAATGGTAACCAAAAGAGAGCTGGGAGGCTATAGTATTGCCAGACAAAATAGGCCTTAAATCACAAAACATTACAAGAGCCAAAGAACAATACTATATATTGGTAAAAGGTTCATTACTGAAAGAATTACTTAGATACCCAGCAGAGGAGCCCCAAAATCTATGAAGCAAAAATTGATATAATTCAAGGATGAAATAGACCTCAGTATTAGTTTTAGACTTAATACTTTCAAAAATGTGTGTTATCTTCTGTGAACCTCACACAGAAGATAAATAAGAAAATAAAGATTTAAGCAATGTATAAACCAGGTAGACCTAACAGTCATACACAAAACACTGAACCCAACAGGAGATTATACATTCTTTTTAAGTATACATGGAACATTCTCCAGGATAAGCCATAGGTTAGGCACAAATTAGTAAATTGAAAAGATTGAAATCGTCTAAAGTATCTTTCCCTATTATGATATAATGAAACTAGAAATTAATAACAAAAGGAAAACTGGAAAATTCACATGTATGTAGAATTAAGAACATACTCTTAACTAGTGAATCAAATATGAAGTCACCAGGGAAGTTAGAAAATACCTGAGACAAGTGAAAATGAAACACAGTGTACTAAAACTTATGAGATGCTGCAAAAGCAGCCCTCAGAGGGAAATTTATAACATGAATTTCTTTGTCTCTAAGTACATTGAAGATGAATAAAGGTCTCAAGTTAGTAACCTAACTAAATACCTTAAGGAATTAGAAGAAGAAGAGTACTTTAAACCCAAAGCTAGCAACAGGAAGGAAATAATAAAGATTAGAGCAGAGATAAATAAATAGAGAATAGAAAAGCTGTAGAGAAAATCAACAAAACCAAAAATTGAAAAGCTCAACAAAATTGACAAATCTCTAGCTAGATGGACTAACAAAAAAAAAAAGAAGATTTAATTACCAAAATTAGAAATGGAAGTGGAGGCATCACTACGAATTTTATAGAAATAAAAAGAGTTATAAGAAAACAACTTTGCCTCAACAAATTAGATAATCTAGTTAAAATGAACAAATTTCTAGAAACACAGTCAACCAAACCCAACTCAAGAAGAAATAAAAAGTCTGAATAGACCTATAAGCAGTAAAGAAATTAAATCAATAATCAAAAATATTCCAAGAAAGAAAAGCCATGGACTACATGGATTCACTGGTGAATTCTGCCAGACATTTCAAGAAAAATTCACATCGGTTTTTTTCAAACTCTCCTAAACATTAAAGAGAAGGTAAACACTTCCTAACTCAGTCAATGAGGCCAGCATTATTGTTATACCAAAGGCAGACAGAGACACTACAAGATAACTATAGACCAGTATCTTTTATAAATATAAATGTAAAAATACTCAACAGAATACTAGCAAACCAAATTTAGCCACATATTAAAAGAACTACATTATTTGCAAGTGGAATTTACTCCCAGAATGCACAGATAGTTCAACATATGAAGATCAGTCCATATAATACTTCACATTAATAGAATGAAGGAAAAAACCCACATGATCATTTCAAATTAATGCAGAAAAGGCATGTGACAAAATTCAACACCGCTTTGTGATAAAAATACACAAATCAGGAATAGAAAGAACTTCTGTTTGACCATACTTCCCAAATTTGAGGAAAGACATGAATCCAGAAGCCCACGTAGGTCAGTGAACTCTATGTAGGAAACATGATAAAAGTATTATATGGAAACCCACAGCTTACAGGATACTGAATGGTAAAAGGCCAAAAGCTTGCTTTCTTAAAATCAGAAACAAGGATGCCCACTTCCACTACTTCTAATCAACATGGTACTGGAAGTTCTAGCCAGAGCAGGTAAGCAAGAAAAACAAATAAAGGCATCTATCTACACTGGAAGAGATGAAGTGAAAATTAACCCTATTCACAGATGACATGATCTTATATGTAGAAATCCCTAAGGAATCCACATAAAAATGTTAGATATAATGAATTCAGCAAAGTTGAAGGATATAAAATAAACACACAAAAACCAGTTGTATATCTATGCATTTGCAATGAACAATCCAAAAAGGAAATTAAGAAAAAAATTCTATTTACAATGGTATCAAAAAGAATAAAATAATTAGGGATTTGTTTAGCCGTGGAGCTAAGAGACTTTCCTTGTTCCATTGAGTGGTCTTGGCACTTCTGTTGGAAATCAATTTACCAAGTATGTGAGGATTTATTTCTGGGTTCCAGATTCTATTCTATTGGTGTATATGTCTATCCTTCTGCAGTAGTACCACACTGTTTCGATTATATTGTAGCATTAAAGCAAATTTTAAAATCAGGAAGTTTGAGTCCTTCAGCTTTGTTCTTTTTCGAATTGTTTTGGCTATTCACAGTTCCTTAAGATTCCACATGAATATTAGGGTGAGTTTTCCTGTGTTTGCAAAAAACACCATTGGAATTTTGATAGGGATTGCATTTAAGTTATAAATCACTTTGAGTAGTATTATTTTCTTAAAAATATTAAGTCTTTCAATTTAAGCACACAAATGTCTCTCCATCTATGTCTCTTGATTTCTTTCAACAATGTTATATAGTTTTCAGTGTATAATAAGTAGATAACCAAAGGAACTGAAAGCTGAGGCTCAAACAGATACTTAACATGTGTAAGTATCTGTTTGAGCCTCAGCTTTCAATTTACAGTAGCCAAAAGTAGCCTCAGCATTATTTATAGTAGCCAAAAGGTGGAAACAACCCAGGTGTCCATCAACAATGAAAGATAAACAAAACATGGTACTGTAGTCCTCCTTTATCCAATGTTTTGCTGTCCATGGTTTCAGTTATCATCATTAAAGTACAGTAAGACATTTTGAGAGAGACAGGAGACCACATCTACATAATTCTATGACAGTCTATTGTTTAAAGTTGTATACTATATGATAATATTCATTTAAAGTTCAAAAACAGGCTAGATTGATAGTGTTAGAAGTCATGATACTTATCTTTATAGAGGAAGGAGGGTAATGTATTCAGAAACATAAATAATAATACTACATGGTAAGTACAATGCTAAGTGATTCTAGGATGTTAGAACATATGGAACAGTCTAACCTTGTGGCATTAGCAGGGAGTAAAGAGGTTCGAATGAGCCTCCAAGCAGACATGGTGGTCTGTGCAAAAGCCAGGAGTCTAGCAAATATGGGGAATACAGGGAAGTCCATGCTCCTGTATGGATCTGCTGTAACATGAAATGTTAAGCAAGGCACAGTGGAAAATGAGTTGGAGAGGCAGAAACGATCTAGAAAGTAGATTAACTGGGTTAGAATCTTGGATTTAGCATGTAGGTGGAAGGGAGGTAACAGGTTTTAAGGAGGGAAGTAATGTGGTTATATACGTATTTTATTTAGATCACAGTGGGTGGCCGTGTAGGCAATGGATTTGAAGTTAAGTAACTTGCCCCAGTAGCAGGGCTATGATTTAAAGCCAGATCTATCTGATTTTAAAGCTGGTAGGTTTGCATCAAATCGAGTAGGAACTGAGGTTTTCTTTGAAGCCATCAGGCTTCTACTTAGAAGGGAGATTCAAAAAAATGAGAAGAGCATACATAAATTGTTCCCTAGGTGTTTCTTTCTTTGTATCTTGCTATCCTGAGATATTTTTAATAGAAGTATTTAGAAATCCTGGTTATGGTTATTTGTTTTAGAAAAAAATTTAATTTCTTTTTAAGGGGCAAAAAGGGATTAGTAGAATTTTTTTTATTCTCTCTTTAGTTGAAGCCTTATCTTCAAACACAAGATCAAAAATTGTTTCTCAGGTACTAAATTTACAAGCAAGTCTAAGTATTATGATAAAAGATTATAGCAAAAATAATGATCCTTTAAGTTTTAAATAGAATGCAATGGTTTTTAACCAAACAGTTTAAGTGATTCTCATAAGAATATCTGAATAAAGATATGAACTAGATGAACTTTGAAGAACACTTAAATTTATATGTCCTAATATAAATATGACAGGCAATAATGAAAGAAATTATATATCTGCTATTTTCAGTAATAAAAATGGAAAATGGTCTAACAAAAGGTCAAAAAAGTAATTACAAAATAGTAGATATGTAGCTTTATAAAACTGAGCATCACAGATTTTTTTATCTCTAATTTAATCTAATTTATTTCTTTTATAGGCCTACGCAAGTGAAATGGCAGCTGATGGTTGCTAGTTGTTTTAGAAGAAGTGGTAAATGCTTTAGTTTTATTCATTTTATAGATATTTTGCTTCTCTCCTTTTAGGTAATTATGCATGTAAATGTGTTCCAGTTGCATATCTGTTTATTAAAACACTTTTTATAACTACCTATTCAAAGCATTGTATAAAAAACACAAAAGTTACCACGTACAAAAAAGTGCTTACAAAGTAGATATTAATCATGTATTACAATACCTGTCTTAAAAACAGATTTATTATTTCTCAAAGTTAACATGTAATCATTTTCACAAGTTAGCCACTGAAAAAAACAGGCATACTGTATACATTATATTTTCATTTTCTACTCACTTGATTCAAAATGTCTTGTGTGCTTGGCCAAATTTATGACACCTGAGAATCCTGAGAAAAGCTCACACTGAGACAACTGCGACTATATGTTTTTTATACAAAGATCACTAGCTATCTTGGTTTGTGTTTTTGTTGCCGCTTTTATCACATTCTTGCTGATGACACATGTCCTGAAGGATGGAGATGGTATTAGTTTTAGAATAACTGTGAAGGTGAATAATATGCATAAAATATCAAATATCAAGCTGGGAGATAAATGTTAACAAATTTATAATCCCTCTTGTAGAGCATAAAAGTGACCCAGGGAAAGAAAGTATTTGGCCAGGCGCAGTGCCACACCTGTAATCCCAGCACTTTGGGAGGCCAAGGCAAGTGAATCATGAAGTCAGGAGATGGAGACCATCCTGGCCAACATGGTGAAACCCTGTCTCAACTAAAACTACAAAAAAATTAGCTAGGTGTGGTGGTGCATGCCTGTAATCCCAGCTACTTGGGAGGCTGAGGCAGGAGAATCATTTGAACCAGTAAGTCGGAAGTTGCAGTGAGCCACGAATGAATGTGCCACTGCACTCCATCCTGAGTGACAGAGCGAGACTCTGTCTCAAAAAAAAAAAAAAAGAAAGTATACCTAAGGGAAGAAGGAAGTACAAGTTTTGAAAGTGTTGACAGTTTGTTCTCACCTAGTTTGGGGGGAGGTTTCCTTCTTTATCTCTGTGAGCACCTTCAGAATGGCATCAGAAATGTTTTAATTCATAGCTCAGTGTATTCCTCACGTCATTTTAGCAATGATCTGTAATTCCTATTGGATATACAGCATGACTATGCCAAATACATTTAATTTACATCAACATGAGTTATCAATTGTCTATATTATTTCAACACCAGTCATATAGAAAGTATATATACATATGAACTAAATGATTTAAAGATATAACCTGCTTCAGTTATGGAAGTTAAAAGCAGGTTAAAAGCAGCAGGTGGCATTGAGAACTGGCTTTGTATCACATGCTTCTTCTCTATTTCATCCCTCTTGTAGAGAGAGGCCCAGAGAGATTTATAACTCATTTGCTGAGATTTTAGGAAAGATCTTTGACCCAAATTTGTTTTTCCTATTCTTTGCTGCTATGTGAAGCTAAATTATTTTGTTACAAAACAAATTGCTTCTATCACTTTTTAATGTTTAAAAAATTGAAGGCCAGGTGCAGTGGCTCAGGCCTGTAATCCCTTTGGGAGCACTTTGGGAGGCCAAGGCAGGCAGATCACGAGGTCAAGAGATCAAGATCATCCTGACCAACATGGTGAAACCCCATCTCTACTAAAAATACAAAAATTAGCAGGGTGTGGTGGCACGTGCCTGTAGTCCCAGCTACTCGGGAGGCTGAGAGAGGAGGATCACTTAAACCTGGGAGACAGAGGTTGCAGTGAGCCAATACCTTGCCACTGCACTCTAGCCTGGCAATTGAATGAAACTCTGTCTCAAAAAAAAAACTGTAAAGGCCAGGCATGGTGGCTCATGCCTGTAATTCCACCAGTTTGGGAGGCCGAGGCAGGCCTATCACGAGGTCAAGAGGTGGAGACAATCCTGGCCAACATGGTGAAACCCCGTCTCCACTAAAAATACAAAAATTAGCTGAACATGATGGCACGTGCCTGGAGTCCCAGCTACTCAGGAGGGTGAGGGAGGAGAATCACTTAAACTGGGAGGCGGAGGTTGCAGTGAGCTAAGATCACACCACTGCACTTCAGCCTGGGTGACAGAGTAAAAGTCTGTCTCAAAAAAAAAAAAAAAGAAAGAAAGAAACCTTACTGTTAAACCATTAAATAGCCCATATATCACATAAAAATTAATATTTTTCTGAATCCCGTTAATTTGTATAATTTGCTAATATATTTTTCTCTTGTTTTTTTATAGGTAACTACCAAAAAGCGTTAGGCACTTACAAAGACACTCACAGAAAATTTCCAGAAAATGTCGAATGTAAGTGGTATTACATAATGTAATTTTGAAGTAATAGGTTCTCACATTTTATGTCCTAATATATAATTACATTTGCTACAGTAATTGTATATGTAAATGCCAACCCATAATTTGTGGTACATAGTTTAAATATTTTTATAGGATCAGAAAATTTGACTGTGAAAGTACATATTTTTATAGAACTAATTGTTGATGGATTTAAATATACCACAGAATTCTCTTTAGTAGGAAACACATATTTCAGAGTTTTCTAGAATTTTAAGAAAGCATTTTAGCTTATGGTTGATTTTCAATGTTTGTAAACCTGTGGTGTTTTATAGGAAAGACATTTTTAACTGTCCATTTTAGTAAACAACTTTTTAAGATTGAGAAAATAAAGTTAGGGTTTATAAGAATAGAACATTAATAATATAGTAAATGCTTTTTTTTTTAAGACAGAGTCTCGCTCTTTGTCCAGGCTAGTGTGGAGTGGTTCACCACAACCTCTGCCTCCCAGGTTCAAGCGATTCTCCTGTCTCAGCCTCCTGAGTAGCTGGGACTATAGGCGCATGCCACCATGCCCAGCTAATTTTTGTATTTTTAGAAGAGACGGGGTTTTGCTATGTTGGCCGGGTTGGTCTCAAACTCCTGACCTCATGCTCCATCCACCTCGACCTCCCGAAGTGCAGGCATGAGCCACTGTGCCCAGCCACAAAAAATTTTTAACGTTACTTCAGTTTTAAAACATTATGTTAATATATTATTTAGTTGTAAGGTTATCTTTGTAGAAGATAACTTATTTCCTATCTTGTTGCACAGTGAATTGATGTACCATACAGTAATAATGTGAAGTATTATAGCAGTAACAACAAATTCAGAATCAAGAAAAATATAAAGCACATTCATATGCCACATATTCTCACTAAACTATAAATTTGTCCCTGAACAGCCTTGCAGGGAGAGGAAAGAGAAAATTGTATAATTGTTACTGCTTTATCTGGAAATATAAAGCAATTTATCGGGAAGAAGAAGTAGCTCTTCAACTCTTAATTCGCTTCTATTTAGACATTGAGAGATACAGTAGTTAGAATAATTGAAAGGTACAATATATACTTTAATAACATCCCTACAGCAAATAAAATAACATGCTGGAAACGACCATGTTAAAATTTGTTCTTCAAGGCCAGGCGCAGTTGCTCATGCCTGTAATCCCAGCACTTTGGGAGGTCAAGGTGGGCAGATCACCTGAGGTCTGGCATTCAAGACTAGCCTGGCCAACAGAGCAAGACTCCGTCTCAAAAAAAAAAAAAAAAAAAAAAATTGTTCTTCAATAACAATGAACACAAAACAATGCATTACAATTTAGTAAAAAGAAATCTTTTCTGAGCCAAGTTTTCTGATGGCCAAGGATTAGGTGTACGACACGTGTTCCTTCATTAATGTATTTCTCCACTTGGCTGTCTAGAAAAGCTCAACAGCAGTTAGCTCAGTTATGATCTTTGTTAGGAGTGTAGGAGCAGGTTGTTCTCTAATGCTGATTAGAGGTAGACTCATTAACTTAACAGCAGTAGTTTTCACAAATGCCAGTCAGGAAATAGGCTACATGGGAATTACTTCAAGAACTTTTTAAAGATGGTGTTTTCTTCTTATCGCCCAGGCTGGAGTGCAGTGGCACCATCTCGGCTGACTGCAACCTCTGCCTTCCTGGTTCAAGCGAATCTCCCACTTCAGCCTCCCACTTTAATAGAGACAAGGGCTCTCTACTAAAAACAAAATCACTCTTTACGTGATTCTCCTGCTTTAAGCCTCCCAAAGTGCTGGGATTGCAGGTGTGAGCCACCATGCCCAGCATAGAACTTTTTTAAAGGACAAATTTCTAACCCTGCCTAGTAAGATTTTTATTAGATTTTCAGTGGATGCAGGCATCTGTTTTTCCCTATTTCTTTTTAAAGGGTTTTCTATGTGATTCTTGTCGCATTAGAGAACTAGTGCTTTAGAGATTAAATGAGAGGTAGCAGTAATAACTTTTCTTGAAAGTGGAGCAACCCAAAAGTCTGCTAAGCAAAACAGTTTCTCAGCCTTGGCACCTTTGACATTTGGGATTGTACAAATTCCACATTGTAAGAGGCCATCCAGGGGGTTATGGAATGTTTAGCAAAATCCCTGGCCTCTATCCAGTAGATTAGCTAGCAGCCTTCCCACCCCCAGATATGAAAACTAGAAATGTCTCTAGACATTGCCAGTGTCCCCTTAGGGGCAAAATTACGGCCAGTTGAAAACTTCTGCACTAACCAAAACACCTCTGCACTGGTCCAAAAAAGAGAATATCTTCAAGGAAGATTTTTTCTTTAGTGTATAAATGTCACTCTAAGAATCAAATGAATGATTGTCTACACCATGGGGGTTGTCTAAGATAACTCTGGCCTGTTTAATTTTCAAAACAAATGTAATCAATAGTCTACCTTAACTATAGTTGTAGAAAAAACATTTACACCCATGGAATGTGCTGTTTTAAGAAGAATAGTTTTCTGGATAAAACTAGCAAGATAATTTAGTTTTAAAATATATTCTTCACTAAATATTGATCTGTTCTACAGAGTTACAGATGATATACTAACTTTCAGAGGACATCCACCAAAAATAATGATTTTTTACTCTACATTAAATGTTTCTGGCTGTGCGTCATAGCTCATGCCTGTAATCTCAACACTTTGGGAGACCAAGGCTGGAGGATTGCTTGAGCCCAGGAATTCAAGCCCAGCCTAGGAAGCATAGCAAGACCTCATCTCTTCTAAATAAGAAAAAAAAAAAATAATAATAACAGGGTATGGTGGTGTGCACCTATAGTTCCAGCTGCTCAGGTGGCTGAGATGGAAGGATCGCTTGAGCCCAGGAGTTCCAAACTGCAGTGAGCTGTGATTATGCCACTGCACTCCAGCCTAGGCATCTCTTAAAAAACAAAAATTCCTAAGCCATCCTTTATTTGCAGAAAGTACAAAGTATCTTCTTATTATGAATTATTAATATAAATGTTTATACAAAGACAATTTATATAGTAATGTGTGACATTTTAAGTTACTTTATACTATTAACTTTTACAGTACTTTAATGGTCTTAAATTGCTTGTATATTTACAAATTATTGTGGAGTAGAGTGACAACTGTGTTCCAGACGTTGTTCTAGCACTGTGGATGTAGCAGAAAAGAAAACAGACCAAAATCCTTGGTATCTAGTGTGAAGAGAAAAGACAATAAATAATGTCAGTAGTCATAAGTGCTATAAAGGAAAAAGAGGTAAAGAGATAGAGAATAAGGGAAGGACTGCTATTTTAAACAGGGTTGTCATGGAAGGGCTTTCTCTTAAACTAGCATTTGGGCAGAGACCTGAAAGAATAGACGGAAGCAAGCCATGAAGATGTGGATGTCAGTGTGGTCAAAGCACAGCGGACAATATGATGGAGAGAGAGAGGTGGCAGAGTGGGTGGGCCAGGACCTGTAGATCTTCACAGGCCTTAGGTCAGGGCTTCAAATTATATTTTGGGTGAGGTGATGAGCTATTGGAGGATTTTGTGTGGAAGAATAATACGATTTGACATAGGTTTTCAAAAGGTTCTAATGTATGATTAACTCAAGCTTCTGTACCTGAGGTCCAAATCAAAAGATTGTTTTGGCCACTGTATGAGAATAAGCTGAGATGGGCAGTACCTAAATGCAAAATCACAGTATTCACTTGGACTAGCAGTGGAGGTGGACAAGATAGATTCCCAATGTGTATGGAAGGTATCAGTGCCAGCACTTGCTAGCCATTTAGATGTGAGACTTGAGGGAGACAGTGTCAAGGGTGACCGCACAAATCTAGCTCTGGGCAGCTGGAAGGATAGAGCTGCCATTCACTGAGATGTGGGAAACGGGAAGAAGCAGCTTTTCGAGGGAAAAATTAAAACCTTTTTTTTTTTTTTTTTTTTGAGACGGAGTTTCACTCTTGTTGCCCAGGCTGGAGTGCAGTGGCGCGATCTCAGCTCACCACCACCTCTCCCTCCCAGGTTCAAGCGATTCTTCTGCCTCAGCCTTTCCGAGTAGCTGGGATTGTACACATGTTCCACCACATCTGACTGATTTTGTATTTTTAGTAGAGGCGGGGTTTCTCCATGTTGGTCAGGCTGGTCTCGAACTCCTGACTTCAGGTGATCTGCCCACCTCAGCCTCCCAAAGTGCTGGCATTACAGGCGTGAACCACCACGACTGACCCAAAAGCTTTTTTTTTTAAGATATGTTATATTTGAGCTACCTCTTTGATGCTCAAGAAAGTATGTTAAGTAGGCACTTAGGGAGAAGTTAGGGGCCATCTGCATATAAATTTACTTCAGTACATTTAGCACATATTTTTGTGTTCTGTTATTACATATATTATCAGTAATATTTTTGAAAAAATTGAGTGTTCATTAGCTTTAAGACTTTCCTGTTTCTTTATCCATTCATTTCCAAAATTTTTACTATTTTTTATGTGCTGGGGAGACAACAGACATACCATCTTGACTTCTGCCTCCTAGGGCTCACACGGATCGTCAGTTAACTGATAGGGGATAATAAATGAGGTAACTGAAAAATGTACAAAGTGCTGAGGAAATACAGAGGAACTCTTAACTCTGCCCAAACTAGGGGACAAGTGCCATAATTAGGTTTTATAGAGGAAGTAACATTTGAAGTGGCCTTGAAGGGTATGGAGGGTTTTGCTAGGAAGGGAAGGCAGGAACAGGCCCTGCAGGTAGACAGCAGCATTATTAGTAACGGTGGAGATAGAAGGATGCAGAGTCTATTTCAAAAGGTAGTCTACTGTGGAAAATGTAGCAGATTGAACATGTATTTTCTCACACCTGTAATCTCAGCACTTTGGGAGGTGAGGTGTGCAAATCAGGAGGACTAGAGTGAGACCAATCTGGCCAACATAGTGAAACCCCATTTCTACTAAAAATACAAAAAATTACCTGGGCATAGTGGTGGGTGCCTGTAATCCCAGGTATT